GGAAACGCGGAGCTCCGCGTGTGCTCACACCTCAGGTTCAGAGCCCCGCCGGTTACCGCGTAGTCCCGGGCTGCACTTGTCCCTGCACGGGACCAGGGGGATTGTGGTCCGGGCTAGCATGTGGACCGTGGGAACATACCGCCTGCCTCCGAATCCCCCTTTCCCACTTGCTGGCTGCTCGACCTTGGGGAAACCACTCAGTCTAGCGTCTCTTTGTCTTACCTTCCTCTTCTGTAAAACGGGGGAGTAATGAAGGTGTGCCTTGCAGTTACCTCAAGGCGGAACGAGCTGGGTGAGAGGAAACGCTCAGAGCCCGCGCATGCGCACTCGAGGAAACGCGCACAGCACGCGCATGCGCACTCCTGTGAGCCCCAAGGCCTTACTCTTGGTCCCAGGAGTTCCTGGAGGGTAGGGGAAGCCACTACTTTCTGTATCTCCAGGCAATACTTATTCAATGGATAAAGGCCTCTTTATCTGGACTTGCTAATGTAACCCTTGGCCTGACACCTGACACCCGTGGTTTAGAGGGACCTGGGAACTCCCAGAGTAGTCCCGAGAGACCGAGAGACAGGCGTACCTCGAACTTCACGGAGCCCGTCTGGGTGGTGTCGAAGGCGTTGAAGAGGTAATGGGCATACGTGCTGGCATCTGCAGGGCAGAGGAAGGGCAGGTGATGGGGGCACAGGGGGAGAGGCAGGGGTCCAGCCAGTAACAGCAGAGGCGGGGGTGGGGGGGGCGGGAGGGGGGAGTAGGGACGGGGGGGGGGGGGGGGGGGCCCAGCCAGTCACAGCAGAGGCGGGGTTGGGGGGACAGGAAGGAGGAATCAGGTACGGGCTGTCTACTCAGTTCCGGGCTTAGGCGGAAATCAACTCTAGCCAGAGGCAAGAAGCCTGATTCTCCCTCTAGCCATCTGGACAGAGCGACTCCCCGCCTGCCATTCCTTGGGGAGGACACCGTGGTGGCTGCGTGAAGGTTCTCCTGAGTGCCATCACAATTCCACAGATGAGCATTCGCCCAGGGGGAGGCAGGCCAGGGCTCAGATCGCAGCTCAGATGGCACAGAGCTGTGCGACACAGGAATCCACAGCAACCTCTCTGTTTCTGTTTCCCACTCTGTACAATAGGAGGTAATAAGACCAATCTTGAAAATTTTCAAAAAGTACATTACTATAGGGCTTTGCCGGGCCCATGGTGAACATTCTAGAAGAGCGGCTCAGTGGGACTCAGTACACTCTGACTCCAGGGCGCTGACCCCCACAGAGGGTGGGGGCCCTGTCTGAGCCCTACACCCAGGAAGGTACCTGTCTGCTGCCAAAGAGGTCCATGGGAAAGAGAGCCCAGAAGTGTTGGGAGGTCTGGGTCTCTGGGGGCCCAGGGAAGAGGTCCTGCAGGGACGCTCCCAGACACAGGGTGCACCTGTGACACATGAGAGCTGGGCCAGGATAGGTTCCACAGGAGCCAGGCAGGGCACACGGCCAGGTGCCGTGGGCCCGGCACACTCACTACCCAGTTTTCCAGGAACAGCCCTGTGTCCTCTGCATCTGTTAGAATTAGCTTAGTTTTATAGTATAGAAGGTGTTTTCTAGTTCTTTTTTTTTTTGGAGAGGTTTTTGCTATAGGGCACATGCATTCACCAGACAGACAGAGACAGAGAGACAGAAAGCAAGAAATCACCCCCCAAGGGGGATGGCCACGCCACAATCCCTTCTCCTCCATTCTCCTCTCTGGATCTTGTACATGTATGTACAATGTGCTTGGCGTGAGTTTAAGACACAGGGTCTGGGACTCAAACTGCAGTCCACTACATGGGAGTCCAGTGACATAGCCATTATGCCAACTACTGGTCCCATTTTTTTTTTAAGAGAATTTTATCTTAGGGCACATGTGCTCACTGGAGAGAGACAAAGACAGAGACAGAGAGAAAGTGAGAAATCACCCTCCGACCATCCTCCCAAGGGGGGTAGTCATGCCACATTCATTCTCCTTCAGGATCTTGGGCATGCACTCTGGTGATTTTCAAGCCGCTGAGTCTGGGACTTGAACCACAGCTGCCATAAGGGAGTCCAGAGACGTAACTACTATGCCACCTGCTGGCCCCACTAGTTCTTTTTTAAAATTCCAGCTTGTCTCAGCTCTTTTAAGGAAAAAAAATGGGGAGTGTCTGACACAATGGTTGAGGGAACAAGGCAAAGGTGTGTGCCAGACTGTTGTGGGATCTAATCTTGGCCTGCCCTCATTACCTGTGTGTCCCCGAGAAAATGACTGAAGTTCTCTGAAACTCAGTTGCCCCTTTTGGGATCATCATACCGCCTTCTAGAGCTGTTATGAGGCTTGAGAATACTGCACTGTCTTTCCTCCTTTTCTGGAGTGAGTTCATTTTCCGAGCTCTTTTCTGCCAGGGGTTTAGAGAATTCCACACCTTGAAATAGGGGAGGTACCCTGCCATGAGGAGGGGCAGGTAACAGGAAGGGGCATTTGGAGAAAGGGAGACTGCTCACCAGAGAGGGAGCAGGGCAGGATCTCTACCAGGGCTGGACTCACCTCCATGAGGGAAAAACTGAGCGTAGATCTGCTTGAATGTTTCCTCATTGACCACACCACTGGGGCACTCCTGTGTGAAGGGAGAGAGAGTCAGTAGGAGGTGCCTGTGGCCTGCTCTGGAGGAGTGGACTGGGCCCACCTCCAGGACCTAGAGTTCCTCATGATCCCTGGTGGGCAGGGACTGGACAAGCGCCTGTGTTCCTCTGTGTCTCCCCGGTGAGAGGCTGGGCGGTAGCCCCTCCTCAGGACTAAAGCTGTTTCATGAAGGGTTGAGGGGCCATCGGAGAATGGACACTATGGGGCAGAAAGAGTTTGGACTCTGGGATTAGAAAGATCTGGGTTGATCTGGGATGCGAAGTGTCTTCTAGGTGGTCTCCTCTGAGACCCTAGCTTCTAAGCATTGTGACTTGGGCCAAGACTTTGTCCACCTTCAATATCCTTGTCCATAAAATGGGGCCATCACGACCTTCACGACGAGGCTACCGTGGGGTTTAACATATGACATGATGTGGAACTGAGCCTGGGGCAGATGCCAATCCATGTCAGTCTCTGTCCTGAATGCCATTGCCTCAGCCTGGTGCTCAGCTGGCAGCCTTCCCACAAGGCTCTGCTCCAGCCCAGCTGCTGACACTGCCTCTACGAGGCGGGAAGGAAAGAAGCCTGGTGGCAGGAAACCAGACACGTGACAAGCACAGATGAGGCAGCTGTGGAAGGGAGAGGCGCCCAGCCTTGTCGGCTCACTTCCAGGGGTGTTCGAATCTCTCCGTCAATGTCTTGGAGAACATCGTGACCGTGGTCACTTTGGAACTCAGCAAATGCACCCAGGCTGCACCTGGAGGGAGGGTGACCAGAAGCACCTCCCGGGAAGCTTCCCACATGGCTCTCAGGACAGAAGTTCCCAGCAAGAGGAAAGGAGAATCTGATCTCACTGGGTTCCAGCTCTATTTCTCATAGTAAATGAATACATTGGCATTCAGTATTATACATCGGCCTCTGTGAGATTGGTTAGCATAAGTCAGTAGACCTAAGGCCTAGCCTTCTGAGGCACCAATAGGGTGGCTAGTGTGATGGTTAAGTTAAGCCTAAAACCTGGGCCAGGGTGAATTCTCCAGGCTTGTATCACCCTGAAAGTGTCTGGGCATCGATGGGTTTATTATCTACTAGGATTGGCTCATTCTCATGGAAGCCTTTCTTGCTAACCTGGCGACTCCTTCTTATGGCTCCTTTATAGAGGTGGCCTTCCTCATATGACTACACACATGGGAAACTCCTCGGCATTTGGAAGAGTTCTGGTCTGAGTGGAGCCCCGTACCCAGTGCTGTGCGGGTCTTACGTTTTTGAAGCCTCGATAAAGGACTTGCAGCTCCCTCTTGGTGAAGTTGGTCTGGGCCTCCAGCTGCTCCAGCCCTTCAGGCCGATGGCAGACCATGGTCATCTCCAGCTCATCTTCAATCTTATCTGGAACCAGAGGAGATGGCGTTGGAGTGGCTGAGCTCTGCGGTCAGACCACAGCCTGGGCTGTCAAACAAGTGGTGTCATGACATGGGACTGTGGACTGGAGTTGCATGCCAATGGCCTTTCTGCCTTGCACCCCACTTCCTGGCACAGTCACTCTCTGTCTCATAACCAGTCCACCCCGTTTTTCTAGGTGTCTGATACCACACAGGAGGAAGCTTCGGCGATAAATGTGTCAGAGATAAATCTGTCCCAAGTGGAGGTGGGATCAGAGTGCTCAGAATAAGTTCACATGAAAACTTTGCTCTTGCTTTCAAAATAACCTCATTGCGTATTTGAATTTCTCCCCACTGAACCTTCAGATCATCCCAGAGACATAGGCAAGTGAGCAGGATGATTAAACCCCCCCAAACAGCAGAGGGAAACACATTTATTAAAAAACAGAATAAACCTCACCATTTGGGCCAACTAGAGAAAAGCTAGCGTGATATAGTTTAAAAAGTAAAATTATGGCATGTTAAATACTATCCCCAAACTCTGAGTGTACCCTCCAGTGTATGGCTGCTGTAATACTTGCCAGATATCCTTACATACAGTCGCCCTTGGTATTCATGGGGGACTGGTTCCAGGGCCCCCTGCACACCAAAATGCGTGGATGCTCAAGTTCCTTATATAAAGTGGTATATGCACACACTTTAAATCATCTCTAGATGACTTACAATACCTAATAACAATGTGAATGTTCTGTAAATAGTTGTCATACCATTTTAAAATTGGCACTACTTTTTGTTTATAGTTTGTTTATTTTGTGCAGGGTGAGCAGGTGCGTAAAGTGTATACATGTCTCTAATTGGCGTCAGTTTCTGTGTGTTGGATCTTTTCTACAACGGTCACTTCCCCTTTTAAGACTTTGATCCTATTGCAAAAGGAATCCATTAAAGTAAGCTTGCCTTTTGTCATATTCCTAAAAGCGAAGGATGTTTGGGTAAGGCTCTACTAATTTGGTAATAATTCCTAATTGTCATTTTTTTTAAGGCGCTGGGTGACACATACCTCTAGCCTTATCCTGCTGTGAGTAAGGGAGAAGATTCAATATAAATAAGATGCTCTGTTTATACAACATAGCAAGTGGCCAATTTCCTCATAGTTTTTACAGAGCCTTTAATTATTGTTATGTTTGTTCTAATGGATTAAATAGCAATTATCTAAGTACTGAAATCAAAGAGCAGAAAAAAGGAAAGAAAAAGGAAAAATGTTCACATAGGTCTAATTCAGAATGCTCAAGTATTTTACCTATATTTTAAACTCATTTTAAAATAGAAATCAATTGTTGGTTTAACTCTCCTGGCATTAGATCTAATGGCACTTTTCTTGGTTGGTTTTTTGATTTGCTAGAGAGCATATGCACTAGCCAGAGAGAGACAGGGAGAGAGAGAGAGAGAGAGAGAGAGAGAGAGAGAGAGAGAGAGAGAGAGAGAGGGAAAGTGAGAAAGCACCCCACCTCCACATAGGGGATGGTCACAAAGCAATCCCTTCTCCTCCATCTCTGCTCTAGGATTTTGGGCATGCATGCACACGTGCCTGGCATGTTTTTTCATGAACAATGTGGTTGGCCATGTGAATCCAGCTGCCTCAACCATCATGCCATCGGCTGGCCTGATCAAATAGCACTTTTATTTTTAAAATGCATGTACAGTTAGCTGTGTGTGTGTGTGTGTGTGTGTGTGTGTGTATACTTTTTGTTTGTTTGTTTGTTTTTGTTTTTGCTATAGGGCATGTGTGCTTGCCAGAGACAGAAAGAGACAGAGAGAGGGAAAG